GATTTTCAGAGGGCCAGGTTTGAAAAACCGTAACTGTACAAGGGCCACCAAGAGAGGCTTGAGCTTACAATAGTCGGTCCAGATTTCTAAAAAAAAAGTCGTCAGTCTAAATGCAAGTTTATTACTGAAAAATGTATAATTTGACGTACGAAGGCCAAACTGGTCAACGGCCACCGGCGCCAAACGACATTGGTGGGCCGCGTCCGGCCCGCGAGCCGTATGTTGTGCACCTCTTCTCTAGAAGATTACTCGAAAAATGTTCAATTTTTGTATGACATTGACAACTTAAAGCAAGTATCCAAAAGCCAGATAATAGCATACTGCAAAAAAACTTAACTGACCAAAATAATAGTGATATAAATGGGCTTAGAGCTAGCTGACGAACTGGTCATTGTATTTTTTTTTTAACAAAAAAAAAACTCCTATGGAAGTACTTCAATTTATAATAAAATTGAATTTTGCTTCCAAATTAAGTGTAGCTATCCGGATTCTTTTAACGCTTCCAGTAACTGCCGCTACAGGAGAAAAGAGTTTCTCAAAATTAAAACAATCACACAAAATCGACTTTGTGATTATTACAATGGAACCCGAGATATGTAAGAAAACCAATTTTACAGAAATCATAAGAGAGGTTGCTGAAATTAAAGTTGGAAAAAAATTTTTTTTTTTGTTAGGTAATGTTTATTTTTGGCTGACCCAATTGAAGTTTGTAAATTGTTTGAAAATAAGTTTATGTCATATTCTGCGTTTGAATATCCACATCGGATGCATCTAAAATGTAAGTCTTTGATCACGTGATTCAATATACGTAAATGTAGTAGGACAGATGTGTCCGATGTGGATAAACAAATGCTCGAGATGTAAAAAATGCATCGGATGTGGATATTCAAACATAGCAATAATAACGCCACGCCTTAGAGGGAAAGCCCACTCACGCGAACGTCGCGTGCGACCTGCCGCATGCGATTTTTTAGGTGCGATTTTTAACAGACGATAAGCAGCGACACAGACGTTTAATATCAAAATTAAGATAGAAGCAACAGCGCTATCGGAAAAAAGTGAAACGTAGATACTGGATTCGTCCTTTACTTAATAACATCCAGTTAAATTGCGTATTTAATTTACTTTATAATATACTGTATCATATTTGAGGGTGGTCTTAAATATCAGATATGTAGAGTGTTGTACGACGTACTGTACAAATATAAATAGCATATTCATGAGTTCAATTCAAGCAGAAAATGTCCTACGAACAAGACATATCACTGGAGGTCATTTTGAAACTATAGAACCGTAGGGCAACTAGTAGAAATAGTCGAACATTATCGACGTGCCGCACGCGACTGAACATCTGTAATGAATAATACTCCATATGTATCAGTGTTGCCAGATTAAAAAAAAATATATTGTATCTGACACTTAAAAAAATGGTATTTTACTGACATAAAATGGTATTTTGACATCACCAAATAATTAAGTTTTACACACATAATAAACAAATAAAAATTAAAATTAGTATAAAATTTTTATTTTAAACTATGATTTAAATAACAAAGTAGGATCACAAAGCACATAGAAGTTCCACGTGAATGACAACTAACATTTCTTATGCTAGTGACTCCAAACCCTAGATAGGGCTACTGATGAAATTATGATTTCTTACTCCATTTTTAATTTTTATGGGTGAAAACCTTAACCAAAGAATCCAAATATATGACATGCATTTTTTGTTTTTGGTTATTCTCACTTTTCCGTCTAATTTTAGTGATTTCCTACTGTGTTTTGCAATAATTCTGATGATACGTTGAAAACTTCATTGATTTACCTGGCACTATAAAAAGACAAACGGATACAACTAATTAATAATCAATTTATCTCTAGACTAGATTCCGAAATAATTTTTCACATAAGAAAGTATACCATCTTTATTTGAAAAGAAAATATTTATCAGTGAATGAGTAGTTAAAAGGATTCACCTATAAAAATCTAAAAGTTAAAAATATGGTATTAAAATGGTATCAGTAGCCAAAAAATAGTAAAAAAAAAATGGAAAATGGTATCTTCGAAAACTTGCAGGTATTGTGTAATGAAGTCAATTTTCATTACTATATTTCGGCCTATTCCGGATATAAATTTTAACTTTTATTTTATTTTAACTTCATGGGTAGTATATCAAATTTTGTTTCATTTAAATTCGCGTATTATACCTGAGTAACGATAGCGCGCGCGATCCGCGCACACCGAGTGGGGAGCCAGCCTGCTTGGGCATAGAGACGGGGATTCAGCATTGAGTATTAAAATGATTCATTCAAAATCATTCGACTAGCTTGATTTCATTTTTCCGACCTCGTTAAGTCTGCTTCGTTATACGCCGTAATATCATTGCCGAGACCATAGTTAGGTACACCGAATTCATGTTTACGTTTTTTTTTTCTGTCGTCGGTTCTTGAGCTAAACGTTCGAATACCAGTTTTATTTGATTAAATTATTCCGTTTTCGATTTTATTTAATAGAAATAATAATTGACTTTAGATTTTCGTTAAAAATATTTTCATTTTCAGATAAATTATTTAGTTCTGATTTTATTTAGAAACATTGGAAATTAGTTTTGGTTATTAGGAAGTAGAAATTTTGTTTCTATTTTATTAATTACTTAATTTTTATTGCGACCGTGGATTGTGTTTCTATTTTAGAGTAATAGTAAACCTAATTTCAAATTAAATTCCGTATACAGTTAATTACTTAATTTTCATTGCGACCGTGGATGTTGTTTCTATTTTTAAGTAATAATAAATTAAAATTTAAATTAAATTCCGTATATAGTTAATTACTTAACTTTTACTACGACCGTAAATTTTGTTTCTATTTATTCACAATCTGGTTTAACTTTTTTTTACATTTATGTTTCTTTACTTGGGAATAGAATTAGTTCGAAAGTTGAAATAGTATCATTTTTCATGTTGAGTGGACTGGTTTTGGCGAGAAAGCTCACATGGGATTAGATACTATCCCGGTTTTAGATTTTTTTTAGATTAACATATTAGTGTTTTTCTTATGTTTGAGAGGGCTGGTTTTGGCGAGTACACTCCTCATAGGATTGATACTATCCCGTTTTCTTATCATTTATCTATTCCCTATTCACTAACACAAGGAGGTTTGTTTCAGTTTCAATACCGACTAGATAGTTAACCAGATAACTTTTTCTACGACCGTGATTTTATTTCTGCTTTTACGAAACAAAATATTTATGTTCAATCTTTTTGCCGATTTAACAGTTAACTAGCTAACTTTTGCTACGATCGCAATTATTTGCCATTTTTCTTCTTTAACTGAAATAGTAATTTTGGTTTCGTTTTGGCTCAACCACCGAACCGACAATTTATTAATTAGTTACTATTGCCACCGAGCATCTTTTAATTTTAATTATACCGTCTGATTGAGACTAATCAAAGTTCACTACTGGCCGATCCGTTTGTTTTTTTTTCTTGTTCAGGGTTTTAAAAATACGAGCGAGGGTGGGCGTTGAAATATTACTTGCAAATTATTTATTGTAAATAGTTAAATTCAATATATGTGTCAACGTTACCTTGACTATTACTGAGGTTACTGATCCCTAATTTACTTCCCCCTTTATTTCAGCAGTGAGAAATTCTTTATCACCACAAGTCACGATTAAAGCCCGTTACTTGTGGTTACTTATTACCTGTGTCTGAGTGACCAACGACCCCTGGAATTTTTCATCTCCATCTGTGCTGCCCGAGTACTTTCGACGGCGTTTCGAAAGTTTGTGGAGTAAACCACACATAAAATCTGGCGCCCGAGAGCCGTCCCGTCAACAGGCGTCATTTGTAAGTAATCGTTTTCTCTGAGGCGAGAAAACCTCTTACAATTGTAGTAGAAAAAATGGTATAAATACCATAAAAATGGTATACCTGGCAACATTAATATCTATCCATAAAACCACTAGTCGCGTGTAACAAGATAATCGGGGGCTTGTTGTTCCTATTTTATAGCCACGTGTGACCACGTGTCAGAACTGCGTTTATGGGCTTTGGGTCATTTAAATACAATTTTGCCGCGCGCGATTCCTAGCGACAAAACGCGTCGCGCTGGTAGGCTTTTTCACTTAAGCGCAGATTCTAATCGATAACCTTATGCGCCCTATGGCACCAAAATCTTAGCAATGGAACGACCTGGATTGCCAGGCATTAAATATTTACATGCAAGTTTGGCATTAACTTTTTTGCTGTCGGTCGTGACTAATGTATACCTTATGTTCCTTCTTTTAAAATTATACTTAACCGAGTCGTCCTCTTTTATTTGATAAAATCCTCCTACAGACAAGAATCCACAGCGCCAACTCAGGATTTTGCACACAGTAGAAAAAATACTAGAACCGGCCCTGTCTTATTATATTCCTTTACTCAATGTTGTCAGCATTTTAAAATAAAGAAGTAACAAATATAAACAATATCAATCAGTTGTTTAAAAATGTTTAAAAATTGGTAATAGTCGTTTTTAATTTATGTATAGTTATTTTTGATCAGAGTTTGTTAACTTTATTAAAAATCTTGGTATCTGCAAACTAAAGACTGTACAAGAATGTTACAATACGCCAACTAAATTAAAAATATCTTAGACGTCATCCATTCGATTACTGCTATATTTTGTTGTAAAAATTACGTTCCACCTTTTCCATAAAACTAAAAATGAAGAATTGAACTCAAACGATCCAAATCAGTTATTAATTATACCGGGTGTTCAAATTAAAGTGTTACAGTTTATACAAGATACAGCGAATTAAGAAAATGAAAAAATGTATATTTAGAGCCATTGACAGCTTTATTCATAAAATTAATAAGGCAACTAAAACTGAGAAACTAATTAGGAATAAATACAAACAATCTTTCAACATATCGCTCTACGAGTATATGCATGTCCTATTAATGAAAAACGTTTCTTAAACAATATCCTACTGGTCTATACCATTAACATAGACGTTATATAAAAATTTGTTCTTCATCAGATGTAGATAAGAATGTACTATCACATAACTGCGTATTAATTTTTTTAATTGGTGTTACCGGATACTTGACTGGTCCCCTCCAACGTCTACTGAGTCCCAAGCTGCGGGGAACCGCGATAGGTAGTTTTTGTTCGTCCGTGTCTTCTAAAAGTTTCAAGTCTACATTTTCTTTAGGAATCAGTTCGACCACTACAGCTTTATCTCTATTATTCGAATCTAAATGAGTGCAAGATTTCGATAGAGTCCGATTAAATGGATATTTCTTATTCGATACACCGGTTTCAATTTCATATCTAATATGTTTATGATACGGCACTTCCGCGATTCCATATTTGTTAACGTTGGAAATATCTCTACAGTTTTCGGTTATATGCTTTTCTACAGGACTGTCGCAATTACTTTTATTTTTGATCTCTTTTACATTCAGCCGGCATTTACTGTTCGGAGTTAATCGGGCTAATAAAAATTCAACTTCATTGCCGGAATTCTTTAGAACGTTTAACGCTTGATTATACTTCAACTCCAGCAAAGATTTCCCGTTTACGGCGATCACTTGATCGCCTCTGATGAAATTTCTCGTGAGATACGCAGGTCCGTTGTCAATTACCGATTGTATGTAAACGTGGCCGTCAGAACCTTCTGTTATTTGAAGACCGAAGCTGCCTTTTTCGTCTCTAGCGATTGTAACGTTGATGAGTATTCGCTCTTCGACAACGGACAGATTGTTCAATTTTTCTAGAAGCGAATCACTAACGGTTTCGTGAAAATCGGGTAGGAACAGTTGGCTGGATTGTTTTATAGTGGAATCTGAAAAAAATAATTTATAGTTAATACTAGTGAATCATGTCGCATGTTATGCGAATGCCAAATGATTCGACAAAGAAAATTTGAATTTTTTGGAAGTAGCGCAATTCGAAGAGTTAGTGAACTAATCAGGTTCTTTTAAGCTATTGTATAGCTTTTATCGCGGGCTTTGAGCGTGGCGACCGAATCAAGAAATTCCATAACGAAAATAAACCTAACACCCCCCACTCCGACTGGCACAGCGGTGCGGCGTTGAAAGCTACGGAAGGTTTTATGCGACCCTATTCGTATTAGTATGAAGCGGAGTTAAATATACATCTACGGACTGGAACGTTTATGCAATACAAAAACTAGAAGAGCTTTCTATGGCTTCTAATAAATTGGTATCACAAATGTTCCCGGCTGGCGTAAATATTAGATATAAATTTTTTTTGCAAGATTTATAAAATATAAATTTTTATTTTATCAGTGTTAACTATTTCATTATTAAACTATTGCATAGATTTTATCGCGGGCTTTGAGCGCGGCGACCGAATTAAAAAATTCCGTAACTAAAATAAACCTAACACCCTCGAAAAATCGAAAAATCGAAAAATCGTAAAATCGATAAAGAAATTCCGTAACGAAAATAAACCTAAAACCCCCCACTCAGACCGGCACAGCGGTGCGGCGTTGAAAGCCGTGCATCGTCTGTCGTTTTAGTTCGGCAAATTTCGGCACGCGTGCGACTAGACGTACGCGTGTAAATTAGCTGCTAGCTGCTCATAACTGATTCTATCTCTTCTAGACATTCTATCTCTTCTAGACACAATTTCGGAAAAATTGAATTTGAAAATGAATAATGATCCACAAGAATTCACAACAAAATATGGGACCACCATTGACCCGGTATTTTCCAGATATTTAGAGGATAGCAAGTCTCAAACTTATTTTTCTTATTTCAGTTACCATAAACCATAGAAATAGTATAGAAAGCCGATTCCATATATCAAAAATGAAACCATAAGGAGAAAATAGTGTGTTGGAGCTAATGCGTATAACGGTGCTGGCTCGAACAGGACCGGTGCAAGTTTTTTATCGATCGAACAAATAGTTAGTCAGTCATACAGTTTTAGAGGTAATTCTTTATAGAAAACGATAAAAAAATTCAAGTTAAGGTAAATATGGTTCTGAAAGTCCTTATTAAAGAAAGATATGACACAAAATATGAATTAGTTAATTTTCGGCAATCATTAGTACTGTAGTCACGAGATTTTGCTTGTGATTTGACATCCTATTTGGTTTAGTATCATTCGCTATAACAATGTTGTTTTGAACTAGTCAAAACATTTTCACTCGAACGGCGTGCGTGATTCAATTTAAAAATACTTTCCAGAATAAAACCACGTGTTCCGGTTTTGACTTCGTTTAATATTAAAGAGCGAAGTTATATACAAAAACGTTAATCCACAATCTAAATTAGAAAATCACTGTTACAAATCATTACTTAACCAAAAACTAAAATACTTTTTAGGTACGTAACCTGAAAGGTGCTGGAGCATTTTATCCTAATATTGACTTTCTTTTTGGGTAAAACTTAAAGCAATAACAAATTGCCTATCTACTAGGGTCGGTAACGAAACGTATATACAGAATGGGCGGATTTTGTTCATACTTTACATTATACTCGCGCACTGACACTTAACCTGGATTAAATATAACTATACATATAAATATTTACAAAGGTAATTTTCCAAACAGGCAATCATTAGTACTGTAGTCACGAGATTTTGCTTGTGATTTTACATTTTTTTTTATAGTATCATTTGTTACAACTAAATTTAATCTAGGGAGTGCAAAATAGAGGGCAGTTGCTTTATTCCCAGGAATATTATGATCGATATTTTTTTTACATTTTGTCAGCCGAGACTATGAGTCGTTACTTATAATTAGACAGAAAACCTTTCATATTACCATTTTAAATATAAATTAAAAAATACTACTACATTTACTTGGTACATATTTTATTTTAATTTTGCACCCTTTTAAAAGAGTCTTTCGGTTCCATAATAAAAATTAGTCGCTGCTTACTAGAAACTTTCTATATAGTCTAAACCAATTTATGGATTGTTTTCGATCAATTTAATACAAAGATTTAAAGTTTTTAGTCGATGATAACATTCCACATCAGCACATTGCAAACCTATTTTATAAATAATAAGAATAAACTTGTAAATCATTAATTTGGTAGTTATCTCATTTATATGATTCTTTTGATTTCTAAATATATTTTGGCCTTAAAATACAAAGCGTTTTGTATCTACCACTTTTTTAATGAACGATGAATGTTGATAGGCGTGTACGTATTTCGGAACAAGAGGCGCTTTAACGACGGAAATGATTTTCGAACTATCCAGTTAATTTTCGGAAAACTAGAAAACGTTTGAAAAAAGTCGTCAATAACAACGGGTCGTTCATGTGTTTCATTTTGATCAGCTTTCATTCTAAATTGCATAAAATATTCTTCCGATTCAAAATCGAGATTCTCTATTATTCCACAGTTTATTTATAATATCTTCTAAACTATCTTTATCTATCATTTTATATACTTTATAATATATGTTCACACCCTACTTTGCACTTTATTAACAATTTTTTTCAACACTTCAAAATGGGAGGATATTCTCAATATCGTTGAAATATTTTTTTATGTATGTTGAGCGATAATTCTTTACCACGTTGCCCGATTTCTATGATTCACTTTTTGTTAGAAAAGGAATAGTTTTATATACATTTAGTCAAGATCTGAAGATGGGATCCATGAGAAAATCATTAACATCTTTATTTTTAAAGTAGGTTTTTCAATATTTCTTTAAACCTTACTGGCTCGCACGCGGTAAAAAATGAAGAAATGAAAATAATTGTTGTGCCAGCCAAAAAGCAAAGAGGAAGTACCGATTAAAATATCGAGTGACAGAAGAGTTTCTAAGTTCGTTGAGATCGAGTTTTGTTTTAAAATGCCTTAAAACCCGCATTTAAAAGTATACCATGCCAACTCGGCCAGTGATGCCATAAATGTTAGGTAAAGGTACAATTTAATAGGGTTCATTTTAAAATTCTTTATTTTAAATTATACCCGACTGAAACACGGTCTCAGACGTCATGAGCGTTGTGTAAAGGTAATATTCCAAATAAGCAACATTTCATGTTCCATCGCTATCAGAAATAATAAAAGTGGTATCTCATTTAAAATAAAACGGAAATAACAGAACTGTCAGAATATTTTGGATGGAAAGATCATAGCCTGCTTACTATTTTAACAATTTTTAACAAAAAATCATTCATTGTTTTGTCAGATATCGATAATATCTCCCCGTCGCTGGGCAGCCTGTATATAAATATACAGCTCTATACATAATTATAATTCTTAGGTAGGTTTAGATTTCCAGACATAAATCTTGTAATAAATATAACAGCTGCTTAATACATTGATTACATTTTTATTCGCTAATGTAAAAATGTCTTTTATTGTACCTAGGATTTAAATAAACACTACACAAAACTAAAAATAAAATGCCACTTTCATCGTGTAATTAAATAATAAACTACAAACGGTCCTGTAAGAGCAGCGTCATATAGCCTTGAAACACCGGATTTTAGTGCTATTGCCAGCTTAATATTGAATTTGTAGGTGAATCGCTTGTTGAACATTAATACCGTATTTGTATATATTTTTGGGAATGTAATTACACATAAATATTATTGGTTGATTATTTAAATGTTTATAAGTTATTTTGTGGCGATATTTCGTAGATATAAACTGTTTAAATCATATAATTTAAAAATAAATTAATTTAAAATTATTTTCTGTTAGGTATGTTTAATATACTTGGCAACACTACAGGGACAAGTCATGCATATTGCGCATGCCTCTAGATACACTATTTTGCGATGTCAGGCGCAAAGACGCGTTTTTATGCACAGTAGGTTTCAATTTCTGCTTAAATGTTATATTTATATCGGTCTTCTATATTATTTCTATGCCATAAACCTATAGTTTCAATGATAAAAATTCCTGAATAACCTACATGTATCATGTATTGTAAGATAATAAAAATATTTGAAACAATATTAACTTCTCATTTATTCAATAAAAGAAAAAAAATTGTTTTCTTATCGGTCACCACGCTCAAAAAATGTAACTTGAATTAATATAAAAAAAAAAATGGAATTAATATCAAAGAAAAAAAATACTGCATAAATAAAATAAATAAATAATTATAATTGCATAAGTTGATAAAAAAATGCTATGCAATAGCTTTACCGCGGCAGTCCCCGAGTGCCACACGTATTTTTTAATTCATTTTTGAGCACAACCTTATGATTTTTTCGAACTAACTCATGTTTATTTACATTTTAAGCGAATTTATTTGTAAATAAAATGTAAGAAGTAAATAATAGTTATTTATGATATAAGTGCTAAAAGTGATATTTTATTTTGTAAGAATGGAAGTTCCCTCCTTTCAAACAAAATAAAATCACTTTTAGCACGTATATCATACACTATTTTTTCTACAAACACCATTAAAAGTTCAAATTAACGCATACCTATTTTATATTAATTAATTGATAAAATAATAGAGATTATCAGTTTTGAATCCAATTTCATCTATTCTATTCATGAAAGAAGTTGCCAAGGTAAACAAAAACCGAATTTGTTAATTTGTCTTTGTTGACAACTAACGTCAATAAATCACGAATTATTCTTTCTCGTTTCTTCGTTCCTCGATGGAAAGTTATCAAGAAAATAAATTTCTACCACCGCAAATTGAAGAAGCTGCCAATAAAGCTGCTTTTGAATTATTGCCTAGTAAGTCAAAATAACAGTACGAGTTTTCATACAATCGTTTCTTGAAATGGTGTGATCAGAAAAATGTCAGTGGCAAGGAGGACAGTGAAAAAGTGCTTCTTGCATACTTTGAAGAAAAGTGAAAAATCGTCAACGCTTTGGTCGAATTTATCTATGTTAAATTCGATGATGAACATAAATAATCATGACGTAAGCAGATATTACAAGCTTGAGGCTTTTTTGCAGAAAGTTGCTGCGATTTTTGGTGTTTTTGGAGCCTGTCGTCGAGAGGAACTGTGCGATTTGTGACATTAAATAATATCGAGGATTCCGGAACTTCACTAGTTGTGCATATACCAGATACAAGAACTAATGTGCAACGCACCTTTGTTGTAAGTGGTACTTTGTATATGAACTACTATAAAAAGTACATAGCCCTTCGTCCAGTGGATATTAATTCCTCAAGAGTTTTTATAAAATGCATTAAAAATAAATGTGCCAGGACTCCAGTTGGAATCAACACATTTGGTAAGATGCCTACCAAAATTGCTGAATTTCTAAATTTGCTTGAATCCCATCTTTATACTGGACATTGTTTCCGACGTTCCTCAGTTAGTTTGTTGGCGAACTCTGGTGCTAGTCTTACTACAATTAAAAGACACGGTGGATGGAAGTCCAGTACAGTAGCATAGGGTTATATAGAAGACTCGCTGCAAAGGAAAAAGAACATTGCGGATCAAATTTGGTACAAAACTTGGCAGATAACATTGCTCTCTGCCCTGGTACAAGCTTCACCACAATAAATTCTGTTACATCTACCAATGAGACTGGCCATGGAGTTTTTTATTATAATTGTAGTTTCACTAATTATAAGTTTTTCATAAAAATAAATCACTTTTAGTACTAGTGCTTACCTCAGGTGCTTAGGCACAGAAAGTAGGTAGCAGCTATTACATGCAACACTTCTTTTTCATTTGTTGGTCGTAGGAAAACAGAGTCTCTGAGAGATACTTTCAGCAATTCTGATCCTTCTTTGTTTGTTGATGAAATAGTGGCAATCAAATCATCAATCACCGATGTTGAAAAATTATTTATATCATTGGCTGTTAATGTACTATTTTTAAGACCTTCTTTGATTTATTATTGAAATTATTATAAACTAAATTATTTTATTTATATTATCGCTTTTAATAATATATTATTGTAAGAACTAATTTTGGCTTACTTTATTGACTTTTGTATTTATTTTTCATAATACTGTATCCTACTTTGTGCAATTTATTTACCGTACTTGTACATGGTCTTTTCTTTTTATTTAAGTCGATTTTCATTTTATTAAGTCTATCATCAAACCAGTTTATTTTATTTTTTATTATATTTTTTTAATGGGAATGCTACCTCTACTGCATACTTCATTTCAACACAGAAATTTTGCTTAGGTATTTGATCAGTGGAGATAAAATAATCTGTCTAATTTATTTTGCGTCTATTTCTGCATCTATTTCATGATAAAATTTACTGTTTTCAACTGTTACTGTTTTATGAGCCTCTTCATGTTCAGCCTTCTACAAGAAAACTTACTAGTTCATAGTTTACTATATTTATGATAAGAAACAAGTCACTTGTAAGCCAGGTCTCGCTTACACATACAATGTCAGCCTTTTTTGTAAATGACTGACTGTTTATATGAATAACTGAAATAGTATCTACCGCGCGATGAAAAATCAACGGGTCTATCACGGGTCGAGCCAAATAGGATCGAAGTAGGTCCGTTTGTTTTCCATCGAGCGGTAGACCTACGACACCTTACAAATCTGACGACTTGGGCCAATAACGGGCTCAGGTTCATCATCATCATAATTCTAACCGACGCTATTTTATTTGATCGCTTTTTATGAGTACACTATTTGGTCTTGCCATGTTTCTTTTACCCTTTTTCTGTAATTATGGAGCACCCTGTACAGTCGAATTTATTTTTGAAATGTAGTATTGGTACTGTATATTACTGAATTGGAACAGAAATAAATCTAATTTAGCTGCTGAAATATACTAAGTGACATAGAAAACAGAACACCCAGTATTAATGAATTTATTACAATCATTTTTAGTATACATGTGTCTTTGGGTTAGTTAAGTAATTGATCAAAATGTAAGAAAAATCCAACCGTTGTAAAAAAGTAAAAAATTAATAGTGTGTTGGTCCTCCACGATGTCTTATGCACTCAGAAACACGTCATACTCCTAATAAGATGGTCGATTTCCTCTTGAGGTATCTCATCCCAGGCAACTTGTACCTCATGCTGAAGTGCCGCTAGAGTCTGAGGAGGATGGGGTAAATGGAGTAATCTTCTTCCCATAATGTCCTAGACGTGTTCTATGGATGAAAGATCGGGAGATCTAGGGGGCCAAGGCAACAAATCGACTTAATTTTCTTCAAAATGGGCCAACGTAATTCTGGCTACATGTGGTCATGCATTATCTTGTTGGAAAAGTGGGTTGGGGAGCGTCCGAATATAAGGCAGAACATGTGGTTCCACCACCTCCTGGATGTAACGCACGGCGGTCATGTTGCCTCTGATGAATACCAAAGGTGACCTACTTCCATAAGTAATGGCCCCCCATACCATAATACCGACAGTGTGGTGCACATGCCTTTCCACGAAAAATTGAGGATCTCGTCTTTCACCACGCCGCCTTCTCACCCTTGCACGTCCATCATGCATGCACAAACAGAATCTGGATTCATCACTAAAGACAATGGTATTCCATTCATGGTCCCAGTTCAGCCGTTCTCTGCACCAAGCCAGTCGATCACTTCGGTGCCTAGGAGTGAGAGGTAGGATAAACAGTTCGCATTATTATTGGCCTGCCATGTTCTGCAAACCATTGGTCAGCAATTGACCTTGTGGACGTGAAGCGGTCCCGTAGAGCCAAAAGCCTAAGGCGGCGATCTTGGAGTGGGGCCGTTCTTCTAACACGTCCTGTACCTCTAGCTCTTCGTGTACGGCCTTCTTGATTTCATACCTGACAGCAAACCACCACCATATTTACACTTCTGTGCATCCTCGTGGCTATTTCTCTGAAGGACAAACCATGTTTAATGAACGATACCCTCATTTACCACCAATGAACAGACAGAAATTTGATAGAATCGAAGCTAACTTTTTGAATAATTTTAAATAAAACCCGGGAAGAAACCGTCAACATTATGTCCGAGATGAAGAAGTTAATCTAATTAACGTATTAGGGTATTTTACTGCGTATCTTCACGCCTCCATTAGAATGGCTCAAGATAGTTTAAATATTAGTCGAGGGTCAATACAACGAATTTTAGCACTAAATAAATGGCATCCCTATGCACAAAGAAAAGTTCATGAGTTGCGAGATGGTGATCAAATAAGACAAACTGAATTATGCGAATGGTTATTGGTACGAATTCAAGAAGATCCCGAGATTTTAAACAAAATTTTGTGGTCAGACGAGTCGAAATTTACACGTAAAGGGATCATCAATCCCAAGCAATGTCATTTCTGGGCAAACGAAAATCCACATTTTTATCGTGAAGCACAATAATTTCAGTACGAATTTAGTTTTAATGTGTTTGCAGTGATCGGTTTTGGAAGAGCTTTTTATTACATTTATAATGAAAGACTGACCTCAGAAAGATACATTAGAATTCTTAGAGAAGTAGTTGCCGACATTTTAAACCAGCTACCAAATAATAATTTTTGGTACCAGTTGGATGGTGCCCCAGCACATTCAACATACTATGTAAATCAAGAAATTACAGCACTCTTTGAAGACCGATGGATAGGTCCAAATGGTCCTTGGCTTTGGCCTGCAAGATCGCCAGATCTAACTCCTGTTGATTTTTTTTATGGGGTCATATTAAAAATTTAGTGTACTCTACCCAAATTAATACTAAAGAAGAATTAGAGCAAAGAGTTCGGAATGCCTTTAACGAGTTAGATAGTGAAATGATTCGTAAAGCAACAACTAATCATGTTGAAAAAAGATTGTTAAAATGTTTAGAAGCTAACGGGGGGCATTTTGAACATTTGATAAAATTATTTTTTTAAACCATGTGCTTTTAATAAAAATTGTTTTTAGTTAGTATGTACCTTATCATTAAAAAAATTTAAACTTTTTAAACGACATATTTTGTTGCAGAAAACTGTAAATGTTTTTAAAAGTACATCCCATCTACTACTTCTGGCTAAAATTTCAAGTATCCAACAGAAATAGTACCTGAGACAGTCGACTTTAAGAAAATGCCTACCGGCGCGACGACTAAAAATTAAAAAAAAATGAATAACGCCAAATCCGCTAGAATTAGAATAGGCAAATATGGTATCATTGTTTACAGAATTTCATGCTGAATCCTAAATTTAAAAAATATATAGAGTGTTCCCTTTAAAATAAAAAAGTTTTTTATGTTTAAAAAATTTCATTTTTAAAAATAATTTGCAAACACCCCGTACAACAAATAATGAATAACTAAATATTCTTAAGAAGTACATCCCATCTACTACCTCTGGTTAAAATTTTAAGTATCTGATAGATATAGTACCTGAGATAGACGACTTTAAGAAAATGTCTACCGGCGACTAAAAATGTAGAAAAAAATTGAATAACGCCAAATCCGCTATAACTAGAATAGGCAAATGGGGTATCGTTGTTTACAGAATTTCATGCTGAATCTAAAATTAAAAAAAAATATGGGGTATTCCCTTTAAAATAACGAAGTTAGTGGTCACTTCCGGTATAACCGGAAGTTGCACAGAGTTCATTTTATTTTAATTCAAAAGAGTATATTCGATTATGTATACTCAGAAAATGGCGAAAATACAAATTAATTTATTCTCCATAAAGTTGTAATGCCCGCCTTACGTGGGACACGGTGTATATCCTGTATACTAAGTAAGAGTAAAAAAAAAATAAAATAAAATTAACTTACCTATTATATACGCTTCGTTTGGTGTACATTTCCCTGTAGGAGATGATCTAGATACCGAAGTCGAACTACAATGAAGAGAGATCGATTGAAGTGACATCTCCTCTAAATATTCCTTACTAATCGCATTCACCGCCTCCATTGACCTCGACAGACCAGTTTTGCAATTATTATTCACGAAAGCCCTAGTTCCCATTTTAACTCCCCTACGTTTATCCGCCGGATTATTTACATTGAGTCCAGAAAGATGTTTGCTCTCCAGAACCAATCCGTAATTATATCTCGGTCCGGAACATTCGTTCTCTTTGTTTTGATCCGTTTCGTTTACGGTCTCGTTAAAATCGCCGATACTTTTCGCTTTTTTCAGGTTATTTTCGTACTCGTATTGTCTACTCAATCTAGATGAAGTTCTGAATTCTATTTTAAATTCAGTTTCCGCGTTCACGGTACCATTTATGTTCATGGTGTTTAAATTCGTGCTCATTAACGAATCTAATTTGTACATTGAATTCGTTTCATTTTTTATATCTTTCAAAGGAATTCCGAATTGTTGGGACAAGGTTTGGGGAGAGATATATTCCGTCCGGAAACGTAGAAAAAACTGGTGATGGAGGGAGGCGAGCCGAAAGGTAAAGTAACTCCTGAAATACAAAAAAAAAGTTTTTACTATCCCAACATACATTGAAGTTATGGATAAGTGTTGTAAAAATAAGTTATTTATCTCATAATTGAATAAAATACAATCACAACATATCTTTAATAAAGAATTTAAAACTAATGGGATAGAACAGTCGAATTAACTTATTTAGAAGGGAAAAGAAATAGTATATTACACATCGAGGTGGGAAGAGTTTCATTCCTGTCGTGAGATTAGTTAGTTAACCGAGACGCGATGGGGAGGGTTTGAAGTGAAGTTTTAGAGGGTGAAAATTGTATGATCGCGATTTCTAGCGAAAGTAAACGTCAATAAATTGTTCCTTAATTATTAATATAAATTAATTCAATAAAAAAAAAAATGTATTGCAATTGTATGGAAAAAAATATAAAAGAAACTAATTTTTAGACCAAAATTATTATTTTTGTATCTGGTATCAGCAGTTGGGTACCAACTGAGCGCGTCTCCGAGTGGTAGATAGGCGAACGGCCAGGAATTCCTTGGTTAATAGTAGACATAAGTAGAGAAAGCCTAAAACTCTTCAAAATATTTTACGAAGGCTACCTCCACCAACCAACTCCCCTAATCTAATGTGTAAGGTAACGTGCCGACGTACAGAAGCTCCCCTGCGGGAACATGGCGATACCATCTTATATCATACCTTGCCGGCGCATGTGGAGCTCTGCGTCGGTTGACCCTTTCCTAGCTACTCATGAAAACCATATGGATACTACTGCAACACAATAGCAACAATAACGCAAAGAGGTTGGAAATAAACGCTCCACTTCAGAAAAGGAAATTGGACAACAAAGTTCAATTCCCGCGCAGGAGACTGGACAGCGACGATCACCTCCAAAAAATAAGTATGAAAGTCAACGCTAACCTCTTGTAAAAAAAGCTGGACAACAAAGTTCGGCTCCCGCACAAAAGGCTGGACAGCGACGCCCACCTCCAAAAAAAGGAGGATAAACACCGTAGTCCACCTCTTATTAATAAGCCTCGGAGAGGCAAGATGATCTCTGGATCCGAAGTAAAGAGGATAAAGAGAAATAAGCTGCAGGCAAGCAGTGCTATGGCAAACGTCACCTTCAGCAAACGCTCTCACTCCAAACCAAAGAAATGCATCTGCCTCCACAAGAGACAATGAACATGACGCAATAAGGACCAGAAAAGGCCGCGATCGGACACATCTTCCGAGATAATTCCTTGGACGCGGAAAAACTCAGACAAGACCAAAAAGTTCTGTCTGCGATAGGCTACAAGGAAGCAGGACCCACCTAGAGGAAACTATAATAAACAAGGATTAACGATCGATGTCAAAAAGACACTGATGAGAGAGCTGGACAAAAAACAATAATTTTGTTCGCCTTTTACAGAAAATAAAGCCTCCTTCAGGTCTTGGAAGCACTCTGGTGAAATCATCAAAGTAACGTGCGACGATGTCCTGACATTGGAATGGCTACCTACCTTAAAAACATTGAAAGAAGCAACACTCGCTGTTGTAAGAATGGACGAGCTCCCTAAGCTCACTAAAGCCCTTCTCTGGATCCCAGGGAAAGCGAAAAGAGGTTGTGCTCAGGCGACTTGAGGGGCAAAACCCACACTTACCTGTAGTGAAATGATCCACCTTCCACCATGAACCAAAATGACCCCAAGGGCCATCTCTTCGTCTTAGCATCGGAGACGAAGACATGAGAACCCTAAAAGTCAAATCAATGAAAAACAGCCATGTTTTTACCTCATCAACTATAAGGCCAAAGGTAGAAAAAGAGACTGCAGCAAAGCCCAGTGAAGAATCCTTTGCAAAGTACTTTCTTTTTATCCAAGTACAGCTAACAGTAGAGGACGTCGAGCCAGAAGAAATGACAATCGATGACCTCAAGCAAGAAAACTACGAGGACACACACGAGGCCACCTTGTCTCCACTTTTGGAGGAAAAAATGGTCGAATAAACAACCACTTTGCTGTCCAAACTTCAACAGAGGATCGGGAAAAGGTAAAAATCTTAAAATGTAACCTGCAGCCCGAAAGGGTGGCTACAGCAATATGTCACCGCATTGATGAGTTGCAAGATGCAATAGCACTAGGAAGACGGACAGGGCAACTTATGTCTACCTTCTCTAAGATGCCCTGAAAGGTGGAGAACGAAACAGTGGAGGTAGAAAAAAGTACTTTAACATTATCCAAAGTACAATAAACACTACAAGAAATCCTGCCCCCTGAGGCTAGTCCAACGATCAGACGACTACCACATGGTGGTGTCACGAGTTGGATCACCTCAGGAAGATGGCTAGGAAATCTTTTAATGAATCAAGAACCACAAAACTTAAAGAGGACAAATCTCACCTTAGAAAATACAAAACAATCGTTAGACAAAAACAGAGCGATGCATGAATATCCTACTACGAAGAAATCTAAGATTTCCCGAGGACAGCAAGGTTTTAAAAGGCTCTCTCATAAGATCCACATCGAAGCATTGGTGCGCTAATCAAAGAGGATGGCAAAACTTCAAAGATAGCATCAAGCTTCTGCTGTCAGTACAGTTCTCTGACTGTTATCACAGACGTGATCGACTAGGCAGAGTAATAATACAACCCATCTGTCTAAGATTGGCGAACTGTCAAACACATTGTAAACGATGACAAAATTAGATGGGTGATATCCAGTTTCTCTTCATTTTAATCGCCAGGACCTGACGGTATTTATCCAGCCTTACTCATATCCTTGTAGAATTCTGAAATATCTAAAATTACAGTTAGTATAAGTCCTTGGAGCCCTTGTTTAAAGTTACTTTTTATAATTCTAAGATGTGCTCAAGTAACCGTTAATCCAGATGTGAGTAAAATTAGGGCATTTAATAAGGGAGTCTCCAACGGATTAAAAGTGATAATACTTTTTGGGGGTCATTGTATTCCAATTTCAATTGATGGGGCTAATGAACTATGAAAAAATGCTCAAAAAAATGAAACGAAAAATAAAACTTCAGAAGTAACAAATAAAATTTTCCCTCATCGTAAACCAGTTGATAATTTCAATGTATGTAATCCCTGGAAAGTTCCTTCTCGTTCAACATCTCGTCATCATTAGTATATAATTAATGATGTAATTAATAGTCCAATAATAAATTATCATTATTATATAAATGAAATCATTTAATTAATCTAATTATAGTGGTTAAAGCTCTTAATGCTCCAAATAGTGGTCAAGAGCTGAGAGCAGCTAAATGAAATGGGTGGTTTTTATGTATTGACATAATTTACTTCTCTAGAATATAAAGTTCTTTAAAAGGCAAATACATAGGATTGAATTATAGAGACTGCTGTTTCTAAGGTTAAAAGAAGAATGTGTATAATAATTAAAAAATTAATTATAATAATTGAAAGTATCGATCCTGTATTTCCTAATAAAGTTATAAGTAAGTGACCTGTAATTATATTTGCTGGTAAGTATATGTTAAGATAATTTCATGTTTCTGTTTGTTTTTAAAAGTAAAAGGCAAGTTGTGTACTTTCTTTCTAAGGCCTGAACAATTGGGGCAAGCGAGCAATCCTGTTCATGTATCGGTTCGCGGTTTTATGTTCGTGGCTACAAGCTTGATGTATTTTGATTAATAAAGATAGTTCTAAATCGCTATTATATTTATTAGTTTTGCCAGAATCTAAAGTCTCCACTATAAATCTTCAACAGTATATTTAGATCCTTGTTGGCTCTAAAGCATATTCCCAAAAAATGAAGAAAGGTAAAAGTGGTATTCATACCCAAACCTGGAAGGATGGATTACAATGTCCCAAAAACATACTGACCAATTAGTCTAACATCGTTTTCAAATGAAGACATTGGAAAGGCTATGCGAAAGGTACATAAATGATGCAGTGATTACTGTTCGATAAGATGTTGGTAACGGGAAAAGAAGCACCCCAAGTTCTGAGTAACTCTTTAATGTTGTAATACAGTACATTAGACATCGTGGTAAGTTGTCACTCACTAGCGATAAAAAGGCGGGCAGGTTCGAGTGACAGTTGACATATCGTCTCGTGTACCACGACCCTGACCTTGCTGTCATGCTGACAACTGACAGTACACTAGAGTGGCAAAAGCCAACATAACAATTATTACAACACCACTACACCCAAATCAACATGCATACACCCCAGGTAGATTTATTAATTCAGCCACTCAGCTAGTTGCTGGTCGGATAAAGATCCTTGGACAATAAGAAGTCCACCTTGAATGTTTTCATAGACATAAAAAAAAGCTTTTGATAAAACCACCATTATCAAGATAATACACTCACTAACAAACAGAAATGTTCCTCAGACGGTTAGTGGGTGGATACATAACATGCTCTTAAAGCGAGCTATGAACAAGTGTAAAAGATGTGGATATAAGAGGTTTGAATGCGAGGAGGGGCGCTATCACCTCTACTGTGGAACATGGTCCTCGACACCCTCATCACCCGCCTAAAGTCACAGTCACTACACAATAGCATATGCAGATTACCTGGTCATTCTGCAAACAAAGAATTTTGAGAACATACTATGCGAAAGAATGCAAGCAGCTCTTAACATTATAGAACAATGGTGCAAGGATCATTCACTGTCCATCAATCTTAAGAAGACAAAAAAAGGTAATTTTCAAAAGGAGAGAGATTAAAATGGAATTAAAATCTCCAGAACTCCTAAACACAAAACTAAACTTTGCAACAGAGGTGAAGTACCCATGTCTTATCTTTGACAGCAAGTTAACATAGAACTCACACTTAGAAAACAGAGTCAAAAGAGCCATACATTGCTTATGAACAATGCCGACGAACTATCAGTCGCACCTGGGGTTTCTCCCCCAAAATCGTCGCTATACAGCTATAGTTTGCATAATTATCAAGTACAAAAGTCAAATATTTCAATCAACGATCATTTCAATAGTGTCATTTTTTGCCAAATAATGTTGTGTAGCAAAAATGCAATGAAGTAAACATTTTGTATATAACTTATTTCGATTTTATAGTGTCCTGGTAATTTGAAGATTGAAATCCCATAAAAAATTTGTCTATATTTAATTAAATTTAATATATATTGTCTACATCTAGGAGTTTTTTAAATATGGCAACCCTGAACTACTAAATAGTTGAATAATGATAACATTATTGCTTCAAGAAGGATTGTATTATTTGTTATCTCCGACAGACTCTTGAGAATCTAACCATGCAATTAGGGTTAAAAAGGGACATATGTCACTCAGTAGTTTGGGATGTTGTTCGCGGTTGCCAAATTTCAATATTCACCGATTCAAGCTTGACATGTTTTCTTCAAACTATTCTTTGTTATTTTATATTCAATTACTAATAACGTATTTCTTGATGAAACAGAAAATGAATAGGTGAGGATGCAGATGCTTTTGACAAATCACAAAGTTGTCAGTAACTCCTTCATCCTCTTAAATGTTTATATAAATATTATATACGAAAATAAAGGTTCTAGTCACAAAATAAAAGACATTTTCTTTTGTATTTCTTTCCCTACTATTGAATGGTGCAATCAGTTTTTTAATTTTTTAAATTGAAACAAATTATTTCAATAAATAAGGAATAATTCATTGTTGCCGTTGTCATTTTTGTTTTTGTCTATTTTTGAGCATGTTTTTTAATCGTGACTACATTTTTTTATTTTATTGAAAACTACATGTCAAGACGAAAAAATGAATATGTACCTGAAGAACTTTGTAAGATAATTTTTCACCGTAGAATTTCTTAAAAAAAAAAACTATTCTGAACCGAAAAAAAAATAATATCTCGCAATATTTTCAGACATGCACAGGTATAATTTTACAAAATTTCATCAAAATTAAATTATTTGGACGAACTTTTGCATTTTTATCGAAAATTTTGAGGTTATGTTAAAAAGATACCTCTACAAAAGCTGTAAATTTTTGTTTTTGATGTCAACGTTTGTTGGAAGTCGTACTACCATTTTTCATCTCCTTTTCAACCCCCTAAAACTTTACTTCAACCCCCTTCTACTATTTATACTTATCAAAGTGCATTTAACATTTATTTTCAAAGTTTAATTTGATTGGACTATTAGGACAAAGGTTGCAAAGTATACCATAGACTTCAAATCATTCAAAAAAACGATGACAAGGATTTAAGAGAAATCTAAGAACTTTATAGCATTGTTCTTTCCAAAGCTTACCAATAACGTAACTGTTTAAAAGTTTTTGATTATATATTTCTATGAATAAACAAAAAGATAAATAAAAAAACCTATGTACTCACTTCTTTTGATCCATTTTCAATTTGTATTTTTTCAATTTCGTTTTGGATTGGAAACCACTATGCGGAAGAATACACAAATATTGTTTGCTGTAACATAAAGTTTGAATATGTCTCCATTCGAATTTTTCGTATACATTCGGCCCGAATTGACTGGTAAGTTTGCCTCTGTCGTACAAATGTATGCCTTGGGCACTTATATACAGCCATATGTCCTTGTGGTTATTGTCTTTCATCATCTATAAGAAAAGCGTTTAAAATGGTAAATCATTGTTGGATCTTTTGTACGCCAACAAAAGAAATGGACGCCACTTAATTAATTTTATTTAATTTAAATTTGGTTTTGAATGTTGACGCGAAACATTATGCATTTTAATTAATTTTTCTTTGAAATTTTGTAAAGCAGATTGTTATTAATACTGAAATTTTTACAAATTTGAATATTCAAAACGTAGACGCTTTCAAAATAAGGAACCCATTCACAGACAATAACGTAAAATTTATATTAGTTTGATTCAGGTTTAAATGGATACAGATTATAAATTAACAATTTGTTTAAAATTACTCTATTGTAAAAAAGCAGAAAACTAAAAAAAAAGAAGAAAAAAGGAGAAAAAGAAAAGTATGCAATAAATATTTAATTTCTGATACTGTATATATTTTTAAAGTCTTCTCTTTGAAACAACACAGAAACATTACCTTAAAATTAATTTTTTTACCAAAATAAATTTATTTTTTGACAGAACCTGTATTTGATATTCATTATTACTGTTCCTACCACAGAACTAAAATTAAGAGAATGGATTTGAGATTCAAAATTGAGGTTTGAGATTGCGCAGTGAGTATCTATCATACATGTCAATTGTCATTCGTGAAAGTGATTTGAAAATAAATGTTAATTTTATTAATTTAAAAACAATTTTTGAGACTATTAACCGTATTGTACAACCCGCCGTTAATTTTTTTCTGAAAACATTGATATATATGTTTTCAAATTATGACCTTGTTTGGCACTTACTGCGCAAACTCAAAAAAAAACCTCAATTTTATTCCCCTTGTAGGAACGTTTTTGAAAACTGTCAAATCCATTCTCCTAATTTCAGTTCTGTGGTGCCTACATCACTTATGCCTATGTTAATGTTTATTTCTTACCCAAGTTGCTGTATAAAAATGACCGCCATAATGTGGTAACGATTGAGCTAGCGTAATAAAATTTTCTTCGGCTTTAGTTGTTTCTAATCCACTTTTAGAAACGTGTGCTCTGATTAATTCTTGTCTTAACCCGTCGGAATTTTCAATTGCTGTCGACATGGATTCGGGAATATAATGTTCGATGAGGAAATAGTCTCTCTGACCGTGTTCCTGAAACAAATGTTTATAATATACAGTTCTATCAATATTAATATTTTTAATTATTTATTTAATATTATTATCAATATTATCAATATTATCAATATTATCAATATTATCAATATTATCAATATTATCAATATTATCAATATTATCAATATTATCAATATTATCAATATTATCAATATTATCAATATTATCAATATTATCAATATTATCAATATTATCAATATTATCAATATTATCAATATTATCAATATTATCAATATTATCAATATTATCAATATTATCAATATTATCAATATTATCAATATTATCAATATTATCAATATTATCAATATTATCAATATTATCAATATTATCAATATTATCAATATTATCAATATTATCAATATTATCAATATTATCAATATTATCAATATTATCAATATTATCAATATTATCAATATTATCAATATTATCAATATTATCAATATTATCAATATTATCAATATTATCAATATTATCAATATTATCAATATTATCAATATTATCAATATTATCAATATTATCAATATTATCAATATTATCAATATTATCAATATTATCAATATTATCAATATTATCAATATTATCAATATTATCAATATTATCAATATTATCAATATTATCAATATTATCAATATTATCAATATTATCAATATTATCAATATTATCAATATTATCAATATTATCAATATTATCAATATTATCAATATTATCAATATTATCAATATTATCAATATTATCAATATTATCAATATTATCAATATTATCAATATTATCAATATTATCAATATTATCAATATTATCAATATTATCAATATTATCAATATTATCAATATTATCAATATTATCAATATTATCAATATTATCAATATTATCAATATTATCAATATTATCAATATTATCAATATTATCAATATTATCAATATTATCAATATTATCAATATTATCAATATTATCAATATTATCAATATTATCAATATTATCAATATTATCAATATTATCAATATTATCAATATTATCAATATTATCAATATTATCAATATTATCAATATTATCAATATTATCAATATTATCAATATTATCAATATTATCAATATTATCAATATTATCAATATTATCAATATTATCAATATTATTAATATTATTAATATTATCAATATTATCAATATTATTAATATTATTAATATTAATCATCAATATTAACACTAGATTTTAGTAACTCAATTTATTTTCAACAATATTTTCCCTAATTTTAATTAATTATTTAAATAACATAATCATAAATAACATCATTTTGTTCAATGATGTCAACAATTTGTTTGAAGTTATAGTCCGTCAGATAGTGACAGGTTTAGGTGCCCCATTTTCGCATACAAGCCTCGAAGAGGGTTGAAAGTACATCGATTTTAAGTAGAATGAAAGGAAATTTACGAGTGGCTGCTGGGGATAACACATGGAAAATTCGATTTTCCCTAACAAAAACGAAATATTTGTTGCCCATTTTTCCACGCAAGCCGTTTTCACTATATGATTAATTAATAGAACTAGTCTTCGGAAAACCAAAGGCTTTAATGTTGCAGGTGGCTAAAGGGTTGAATTAAGGGCGTAATATTCTAAGGGTAAATCGAGATTTTGCCCGATTTTTCCACACAAACCCATCGAATGTATGAAAACGTACGTCGTCACTAGTCCGAAAAACATATTTTCTTGAATGACCCGAATGTACAAGTGCATTTTGGGGTCGGAAAATTTTTCTGATTAGAAAAATCGAATTTTCCATGTGTTATCCCCAAGAGCCACTCGTAAATTTTCTTTTATTCTACTCAACATCGATGTACTTTTCAACCCTCTTCAAAGCTTATATGCGAAAATGGGGCACCTAAATTGGTCATTATCTGACGGTCTATTACAATCATATGCAAGATTGATTATTCCAACATAACATCAATGTTCTATGAATATACTAAGAACATTCTGTTTATTTTCTTTTTAGTATGTCCTTTCTAGAATATTTTTAGAACTTACCTAGTATATATTTTGAAAGTATATTTTAAAAGTCTGATGTGTCCAACACATTACTTTCCTATCTAGTTATTATAGGATTTTTCCGGTTATTTTGTACAACCTATTGCAGCACCTCTATAAATGTTTAGAGAATAAACTAAATATATACGTTTTCCACATACATCTACCTCGAAACATTTTTCTATAGATATTCATTAAAAACGAAAATACTGAAAAATTTAAATTTAGCACTTTTACTACAATTTTTCTATTACGGTCCATTTTATAAAAGGCATGTATAAACAAAAAAAATCTGATGTGTCCAACACATGACTTTCCTATCTAGTTATTATAGGCTTTATAGGCGGTTATTTTGTACAACCTATTATACCTCCTCTATAAATATTTAGGGAATAAACTAAATATATACATTTTCCACATACATTTAACTTGAAACATTTTTTTACAGATATTCATTGAAAACGAAAGTACTGAAAAATTTAAATTTAGTACTTTTCTCCAATTTTTCCATTACGGTTCATGATTCCTATACTTTCCTTATATCTGTATACAGATAGGAAAGTAAAAAGATTAAAAAATGGTGACGATTTTCATTATACAGGGTGTTTCATTGGTAAAGGGACTCCCTTTAACCATGGATAGAGACCACTGAGGTGCTTCCAAATAACCCATACTTAATGGGTCTTTCGACCTTTATAGCTGAGATACAGGGTGTTTTATCAATTTGGCCTATTTCTTTCCAGACTCATAACTTATTAACCACCCTGTATATGTTTTTGACATTTGGCGTACTTATTCACCGTAATTTACCAAATCTAAAAAGTTATAAACAAGAAACGAAATCCAGGTCCGTCTTTACAAAAAATTAATAAATTCGTCCATCCTTAAAACAACATCCTGTATGTCTGAATTTGAAATTTTTGTTTTCATATTTGAAAAGAGCACAAAAAACTGAATCCAATAATGTACATTTTATTTTTGCGCAGACGATTTTACTACTGAAATTATAAGTCCAATTGTTATTTTTGAGCATTTTGGAGGTACAAACTGGAAACGGACAGAGTTTTATTAATTTTATTACGGTATATTTAAAATTATTTAAAGAAGTATATTTCTAAAAGCTACAGATATGTCAATACTTATAATTATATGTATCTACACCATTTCAAAAAATAATTTCAGGTCCGGTTTTAGGGCCAAAAATCAGAATTATTTTTTTTTCGACCGCACCCTGTATAAATTATTCCATGTAACTTTTAATAAATAGTATGTATGATAATAATATGGAAAGAGACTAATATTCAGTAGAACAAATAATAACATTTACAACTAAAAGGAAATAAACATAATTAATAACTAATTAATACATAATAAACAAATCAAAATAACAACTAATAATACAAAGAAATACAAATGTTGGAAATAAGTAATAAACCTTATTGCTACTAAAAACTACAAGAGTTGTTCAAAATGACCTCCATTTTGTTCGATGCATTTTCTTGCTCGTTTTAAAATATGGTTGACGGCTTTTCTGAGTACATCGGGATTATTTTTCATTTCTTCGCATGCGTTTTCTATCCTCCCAACTAGTTCTTCCCTACTATTTATGGGAGTGGAATACACTTTTGTTCTTAGATGTCCCCAAACGTGGTAATCCAGCGGATTAATATTATTAATATTATATTATTAATATTATTAATATTATTAATATTATTAATATTATTAATATTATTAATATTATTAATATTATTAATATTATTAATATTATTAATATTATTAATATTATTAATATTATTAATATTATTAATATTATTAATATTATTAATATTATTAATAT